AGAAATTGTGGAAGAACTATGCAAGGGCAAAATAATTCAGTGAAGTAGCAGTAAAGACATGTAAAGTCAAAGATGAAAACAAAGAAATGTCCTAAAATCATCAAATAAATGTGAGATTTAATAATCAATGGATTAACAAAAAGTTAGCTACACTCTTAATGGGGAGCCTAGAACTCAGTTTACTTAAGTAGGGAGGATACTAATTAATAGCTTATCTTGAACCTAGAAGAGGTCAACTAATAGATTATGTGGACATGGGATGCCTGTTTTATAGTGATGAGTCAAAGGGAGTTGACATGTTGGTCAGTACCCCAGGGACAGCCATCTTTGCCCATCTTCTTTCCGGACTGAAACAGCTACACTGTAGTCACAGTCTGCTGAAAGTTTCCCCACATTTCTTATAACACTGTAATTTTTGGTAGTGGATTAGTGTTTTTAACTCAAATAAATCAAGATTAAGTAATTCAAATTTAGACTACTGACTCTTATTAATATCAAAAATACTTTCTTAAATCGTTAAGACTATAGATTTGGTATTTAAAATGTATGCAGACTATAAGAAAATGTACTTTATTAAGGTATCGAACAGGTTAGACCTTAAACAACTACTTAAAGGAGTTCTTGAGCAATAGTTTCCTGATGTTAAGTCAAAAGGTATGAACAGTGTTGGTATATATTTAACAGAATTTAAGAATCATGTATAGACATTTATTAATTTTACTTGGAGTGGCTTATATAAATGAAAATATTTTCCTACTAAAGAAATTTGAAGGGATTTAAAAGTAAAATCAAATATTTCAAATTGATAAAGGCAATGTACAATAATTAAAGGAAGTTTATTAATTGGGTTGGTATTAACTGGGTTTGCAATTGGAATTGTTTAAGGGAGGGTGATCCATTCAACTTGAAGAAACATTAAGCAAAAGTTCTCGTGAGTGCTTAATTAAATTACTAAATGTTTAAATAAGTAGGATTTGTAAATTTATTCATTCGACATAGATATTGAGTATCTGCTATGTGCTGAGCATTTTTCTGGATACCAGAAGTATATCAATGGACAAAACCATCTTTATGGAACCTACGTTCATTTAACTTGGAAAAAAAAAAAAACAAGTTATTCAATACCTTTTCTTTCACACATTGGACATTAATTTTAAAATAAGTTAGCAACAAATAGTTTCTTCATTGCACAAAATTTCCCTTGAGGGCACTAAAAACATTCACAATGGTAAGGGGCTTCATTCATCCTGTATCATTAATACCTAGCTCACATACAATGCTCAACATTGTGAGTGGCTTCCCTGTAGAATCTTCTCTTAATGTGGTCAGAATTCTTTCACATCCCTCACAAAGAATCTGAGTTAACCAGGATTTTCTTCTTGAAATGTAGGTGTCTCCAAGGTTAGGGTCTAAGAGATATATCTTCATGTGATTCCAATTCTATTTCTCCTAGTGGCAGAGTTAAGGAAGAAACTGGTGGATGGAAGAGAAGCAAATAACTCTGGAGATGGAAATATTTGTGCACAAAGGGATAATTTCTGGATGGAGGACATTGACATGCAAGGCTGCAAGTTCTCAGGTGGGCAGTTGGGAAGTTGGGGAGACTGGGTAAGGATATAGAAAAAGAGGTAGGGAAAAATACAAATAATTCTCAACTATTTCAAAAGAGAGCCTCCAGCCAGGAAAGAGAAAGACCCTTTTTCTTTTTTTGCTTTCCCAGTTGATTATCTATTCCATTAAGTCCAAAATCAAAATTGCTTTCTTTATAAAAATTCCAATTTAGGTAAATAAGCTTTTGCAAATTAACATGAAAACTCAAATGAACATTATTTCCACAAGAAAATCTCATTTCAAAACAGCCTGCTTGTAATGTTTCATTGAAATATAACCTATTTGTGAATTAACTGTTATTTTAATAGAATAAGATAACTCAAAAGAAGTACAACCCAGGCAGAAAACTGCAGAGACTTTATGGAAGCCCAGCAATGATTTAAACTGTGGGTTTCCTAGAATAAGCCCCAAACTAAGAACTTAGGGTTTTACAAGCCATCCCCATTTTTCAACTTCCTTATGTCAACAGCCCCAATCCTCACATTCCAAAAGTGCAAGTAATATTGGGGGCCCTTGAGACAGCTCCTCCGTCAGCTGGTTGTCCCCAATATCTGCGGCCATTTGCAAATTTCCCACACTGGCATTTAGGGATCAATTAGAAAGCACAGGAAGATGACTGGGGCACGTTTGGATAGTGGTGAACTACTCAGGCCCTAGAAGCTGAAAGAACACCTTTTAAATCCTAACTACCACCTCCTAGCTGGATGAACACAAGCAGGTATCTTAAGCTTTTTGTGTATCCATTTCCACTGAAAATGAGAATAATAATTTCTGAGGAGTTTGTATGAAGTGTTGCAGGCACAACATCATTGCTGACATGTAGTGAGTGCTCAGAATTATACTTACCCATGGTTTTCCTAATTTGTGAGCAAACAGAAAGTTATTTCAGATCTTTTGCTTCCAGTATGCCACAAATGTAAACGGTAATTACTGACATCTTGATTGCTTAGCCAACATAAAGCTTTCTTTTTTCAGCATTAAGGAAACCCAAAGAACACTTCACATTTCTAGTTAGGCTTTTCAGATGCTGGAATGACACTGTTCGAAGGGTGACAATGATTTGCTTTTTTATCTGAGGAATGAAAATTTCATGAAAAAAGAGTCAAGGGAGAATTTTGAAGAAAAAGCACAAAGCTCTAAATGATGGGTTTTTAAATACTCAGTGCCTTTTCAGACACTCTGTCCTATGATGAAACAAAATACCACTGACAATAATCTCTTAAGAATGTGATTTTTCTAAATAGATCCATATAAACCAGGCTGCATTATTAGGGGGAAAATGATTTTAATCATATGGTATTAGGTTGAGTATCATCCAGGACAAGTGTACTATAAAAAATGTTTTGAATATTAATTGAGCTCTGGTAACGTTAGTGTTGTAAATACTTGTATTATAGTGAGGTAGACAGTTAAAAAAAAACTCTCCATTAGACAGACTTAAAATTTTGTAATAATATTTAAGAAAATGATAACATTATGAAAGAATGAAATATCTGATTAATGCTTAACTTTGTACAACTCGAATATAAACTTTAAAAATATTAGAAATTATAACATTTGAGTGCATATAACGTTTTGTACATTAAGATGAATTGCATGCTGTCCACTTCCTCTTTGCACTTTCAGTCACCTTAAATAAACAAATATATACAGCCTTAACAGAACAACAGTGCATCCAAAGCAAATGTGCATTTTAAATTATTTCTCCTGGCCAAGTCCTTTTTTTTCCTTAGCATTTTATATTAGCATTTATTTTTATCCTCGCCCCTTCTCAGACAGTTTGTAGTTCTCTGAACCAAACAAGCAACAGGTTTAGACCAAGAGGGCAAAACCACTAAGGAAAAACAAAATCTTTTTTCAATGGTTGGTACCAGTCCCCTTGTTTAAACCATTTCATGGTCAAAGATGAGAAAGAAGCTCATTCTTCAAAGGATTTATGTATGGACAATGCTTGAAAATAATACTGGTACAGGTTGGGGAATAATTCATGCTTTTGACAGTCTGGGAATGGGAATTAAAATTGCATTGTGCTCCCTCCTGCTTCTTTCTGGAAGATGAATTCCACCCCTGACTCTTCCTCACTGCCCATTCCTCATCTCCCACCCCAAGCTCAATGTAACACTTTGCACTTTTCACAGTTTTTCATTACTGAGTTTTAAAAACATTGCCTAACTGGCAATTACAATCTGAAACAATTCTTTTGGGGAAGCCCTGGGCTATTGCTGGCTGGTAATCCTTCAGGAATGTCAGAGCGAGGGGAGGGAACGTGGATGTTAAAGAAACTCTGGAGATAGGGACTCTGCCCCTTTTCATTCACCTCCCCATTCCCGGCCTGCATCGCTCCCCTCATCCTCAGTGGGATTCCCCCTCACCCCTCCTGACATTCCCCCTTCTGTTTCTTGGAACATTTCCCCTTTCTCTGAACCTCTTACTTTAGTTTCTCACCCTTAATCTTTTTTTTTTTTTTTAAACCTGGCAAATCACCATCCCCTTAAAAGGAAATGTCAATTTTGGCAAATTCCATTCAAGGAAACCAATTAGAAACAGACACCACCAAAGGCTCTTGGGTGGGTCACCTGCAGCCTGGGCTAGTGCTCCGTGTCAGCCCTGGTCAGAGGCAGGCCTTGTGGTTTCTCATTATCCTTCAGGGGTTCTGTTGGGCTCATTCTTGTCATTCCATCCATACTAGCTTCCCTTTCCCCACCAGAAACTGTAACAGTAAGGCAGTGACCTGAGCCCCCTGAAGTGAACCTCCGGCTGGCTGCCAGTTCCCTACACCGGGAGAGTCCCGGGCAGGACTACCTAGCTCGCAGGAATACACCGGTGGGCCCAAAATGTCAGCCTTCTCTCAAAGCCCTGTCTCAAAGCTCTCCTGAAAACAAGGGCCCTTCCTGGCTTTCTTATTTCCGGATCAATTCCTCTGTTTCAACACTTTCTGCTTGGGAGGTCACAAAGCGTGGGCTGTGATGTGGCCAGAAAGACCCCACCCTCTTTACACAGGTAGAAAGCAATCAAATCAAGAAGTGGTCAAAGGTGATTCTTCCTCCCACACTGTTTTCCTTCTTAAACTATTATTAGGATTTGTTCTAATCCACGGAGCAGTTGAGAAACAAGTATGCGTCTCCCCTCCCCCACCTCCTAGCAAAACCTGTGAGACACACCAGGAAATCCAAAGCCACATAATAAAGAAAAATACAAGAAATCCTCCTTGACTTGTTTTTCCAGGGTGGCCCGGCAAGGTGTGAAAATCCGTGTCTCCCTCTGGGCTGGCAGGTGGAGGGTTCTGGGCAGGCGGCGCTCCCTCCTTTCCCAGCAGCAAGTCCCGGCTGCTTCCCTACCCACTGCCTCCTCCTAGGCCAGCTCTTCCCCTGGGGGCCAAGGCGGCCAGAAAGGCGCCGCTACCTGCAGCCGCAGGACTCCACCACCATGTCCTCGTACTGCTTGTAGACCACGTTATTGCCGGCGTCGATGTACAGGATGCTGATGGGAGTCAATTTGGTGGGCACGCAGCAGCTGGGCGGGGTGGAGCCGGGGTCCATAGAGTTCATGAGCGTCTGGATGATGGCGTGGTTGGTGGGCTCCAGGTGCGAGCGCAGCGGGAAGTCGCACACGCCCTCGCAGTGGTACGCCTCGTACTCCAGGGGCGCGATAATCCAGTCGTCCCAGCCCAGCTCCTTGAAGTTCACGTGCAGGGGCTTCTTGCTGCAGCGCAGCCTGGACTTCTTCCCGTGCCGCTTGCCGTGGCGACTGGCGAAGGCCGTGCGCCGCCGCCGCCGGC